GGGTGAAATATACAATGTATACTATTATTCAACTACTTAAAGCACACTGATATGCTTTCATGCTAAGATATTTGCAGTTAATCTTTCTTTGCCAGAGACCATAGCTAAAGGATTGTGACCATCATCATCCTTTCTGTTTTTCCAGCTAATGCTGACGTTGCTCTACTGACAGGTTGCTACAGATACAGGACAATGTCTGACCTCGTTCCTGTAGAGAGGGCTCATGTAGTACATGATATCCATGGCACTGGCATTCAGGACCTCCCGTAACCCACGGATCTTGTCTGGTGTGATGCTCTCCACAATACCTGCCCAGAGAGTGTATGTTCAACAAAGTGATTCTTGTCACAGAACAAAACTTACTTAGTGTTTCACAAGAATTTAAAGTAAGAATTTGAATAAGGAAGCTTGGCCTTTGTCTCTATCAAAGGAGGCAAAAGTAAGAAAGATAGGCTGGGAGCTGGGAAGTATGTGGATAGAACAGTGAAAAGAGGTGACCTTGAGGGCCTGGGAAGAAGCTAGTTAATGGCCTAATCAAGGTAGATACATCAAATCTATGATTATGATCCAATGCTCCAGTTGGAATCAGATGGTCTACGTTTAAGTCAAAACCAAAAAGACCCCCACCTCCATCCAGTGTCAGTCCTGACCTCCATTCCACAGGGGAGGAACTCCACCCGCTGGTCATCAGGCAGGTGGGGGAAGTGGCTTTCCTGGATCTTACTGGCTGCCTGTCTGAGGCTGGAGGCGGAGGGGCAGACCAACGGGTTGGTGGAAAAAGAGGTCCAGTCTGGACTGGTCTAGGGGGCGGAAAAACCTGTCCAGTCTGAAAAAAGGGTCTGCATGGGGTCTAGGCATGGTTTTGATAGAAAGTCCAAATAGCTGCTATTCAAGACACTTAACTATGTTGAGACAATGAATACGACATGAAAGTGTGAAGGGGAATATGATAGAGTAATAACCACACAGGCTAAGGACATTATATAGATATACATGTACAATGTACATGTATGTTCATTCTTGTTTATACGCTAAGGCGAATTGCAGGGATGGCAAAGTTTGCCAGACAAATGATTGACTACTTGTATATAATGTGCTCAGAATTTTTTTAAACTTCTCAAAGAAATATTGGATTTATCCCATGTTGAATATAACCTCCTGGGTTTACCCATGGCATCTCATTTATGCAAACATTTTGAGTACTAAAATTCATCCCAGAAGTGAACGTTTAGGTTTCTTTCCTTCTGAATTCTTATGAAATCTTTAGTAGTGGCTCTCAGCTGAATACAGTCTGATACCAGGACCAACACAATGTACAAGCAGTTGTAGAACATTTGGAAGCTATCTGAAGAGCCAGGGTTTCCAGACAGTCCTTAGAACATAACCTCCAAGTCCAGGCAGATCTACAGTAGGGTTGGATATTGTTTTACGGACTGGAAACAATCAGCTTGAGGATTAGGGGATGAATGTTGCCATCCAACTGAATTTAGCATCAAGTGTTACAGGAACCCCCATCCAGACCCTTTTTTCAGACTGGACCTCTTTTTCCGACCCCTAGACCAGTCCAGACTGGACCTCTTTTTCCACCAACCCCAGACCAACAAACAACTGTTACAGTAGTTCCAACGAGAACAGGCTTGAAATCATGCAGTCAAAGGGTTAACATATACTGGTACATATATAATGAAAATTCTCACTAAACACATCTACATGTAATACTTTCTCCTGGGGTTTATTGATTATGTTCCAAGATCCAGCTGTTCTCTCATGAAAGAGGTCAACTCATGGGCACAGTTGTCAATGAGTTAATGTAGCATGGTGTGTTGATATGTGTGGGTGCTGCCGCGGGGTCTACAGAATCCCACAAGGTCAGGTGGAGATACCAGTGCCCATTAATCCTCCTGGTGTCTAAGACTAAATTTAACACACTGCTAGAATCAGCTCAAATCAATAGAGGGCACGGTCTTGGAAATACCAGATGCATACCTAATTAAATTGGTCATTTCAAATTTGAAAAGTTCTTCTCTTTAATTTCAAAGGAGCCATGTTGGAAGACCCATTATATTTCACCTTTTTAAACATTTGACATACTCATGTTATCTTTCTGTCAAAATGTTTTATAGTTGGGTTTTGGGATAACAATCGTAACTTTGAACCCCATACTTACTCAGCTACACATTTGATGATCCTGCCTGTGTCCATTTTCTGCCCAATGCCATGGATGACCAGTACCAGGTGTGTGATGTCTGCCGGTTTGTCGTCCATTTTGGCCTCGTATCTGTAGCCACGATGCAGCTTGGTGCCACTAGCAGTGGCTGGAAAATAAAAGACGGCGTGCAAAATACTGGGTTGCACATTTTGCTTGGCACAATCCTTTTCTAAACCCAGGTAGCACCATTGGGAAATGTTCATTGAGTAGTTCCCATGGATGCACTCACTTAAAGTAAGGGGAAACAATTCTTTTTAACAATAGATGAAACTCTTTGACTGAAATGTAATAGGGTATAAACAAAATGTCATGTTTAAAAATGCTGTTTAGAGTGAAGCACATACCTTTGGAAATGCCAAGCTTCTTTCCAACAAAACGGATGCCACGGGAAGTCTTGCTATCACTAAAGAGAAAGACCTCGGAAGGGCTGTACCAATCCACATGGCTGTCACGGAACCTCACATTCAGCACTGCAGACACAATCAATACTCCAATTAGCTAAATGTGGGTTCAATGAGTCTGCATTGTGGGGTATTGTCTGGAACAGCCAATAAGTAATGGTGCCCTTTGGGGTCCAGATCAACCCAGAGTATCCCAGCATTCACCTACAGTATTAAGGCCACACCAGGAGGGCCAAAACATTTATTTTGGCCAAGATATATTAATATCATACATATGTAATGTAACAGGGTGTGTTGGTATGTGTGGGTGCTGCCATGGGGTCTATAGAATCCCACCTATATATATAATTCATATCATACATTACATATGATTATGTATATATAATGTCATTGGTCTGCCATATGACATTAATCTCCAGAGCATGTCATACATGTCATCTCCCAATTATTATAATCAAATGCTGTTTGGATTCAAATACCATATGTAACTAGAGTTCCACGATCTCATACCTTCGCCAAATGATGTTAATCTTTATGGCTGACAAATTATAGATTATTCCCACTGATTGTGCAAATAGGATCCTCATTTCAATGAATTATATCACTTTATCATATTGTCAACCTTAAGAGTCTTATATTAGCAAACAGTGCGATTTTATTATTTCCTCATAAATTATGCAAATAAGGTCCAGATTTGAATACATTATGTTTAATGATGTTTGCCTTCACTGAACTTTCAAATACCACAAGTATGACATTCCAGGCAGTTATCATTACAGAATTATAACATTTTCTCATTAATTATGCAAATTAAGTCCTCATTTCCATAATCAATATCTGCCTGTGTTTCTCTCCTGCTCAATAACCAATGTCATAAGCTTCATGAAATGATAGGACTATGAGCTGATTTATAGAATTTCCCCATAAATTATGCAAATCACATCCATATTTGCATAATTGTCACATAATTATATCAAGCATCACATAAGCTACCTACATACCAAAAATCACGACGATCCGTCAACCGGTTCTTGAGTTATCCTCTTTTGAATATTTTAAAACAGATAGCCCTGCAGTTCCAGGGCAACCCGCTAGGGGGCCCAAACTTACGTCACTCCTTTCCCAGCACAAGAGCTACCTACCATCCAAATTTCGTCACCCTAGCATGTCTGGATCATGAGATATCAAAACCGGAAGTTCAGCTGCAGTACCATAACAAGCCGCTAGGGGGCCCAAAATCTAATCATTTCGAGCTCTCATCAAGACCTACCCACCTACCAAGTATAAAGATAATCCATCTAAGCTTTCTCGAGTTATGCTGTTGACAGACAGACAGACAGACAGACACACGGCCAGGAAAACATAACCTTCTCCAATTCTTGGCGAAGGTAACAATAAAGGGTACTCTAGAAAACTCTGCCAAGGCTACGATAACATCAGAACAATACGATTGGAAATAGCAAGACAATGCACAAACAATATTCCCTGCATTTCTTAAAATGTTTTGGCCAATATCCTTGACCAGGTTTCATATTACATGTATATTCATGATGACTTACTCCGGGTCAGCCCTGTGAACTTTAGACAATAAGTTATCCCACACCAATGACCTACATCAGATGACACACTACATGAGGTGCCCAATCCCACCACCACTTTCACTTAGAAATTCCTTTGATCTCCTCCCTCATCTGCCACAGTATTAACATTGAGTGTTCCAGTATTGATCATTTTGTCTCAAAGCAGGTCAATGTTGGCATGATAAAGCCAGTGTGCCAATGAAAATGTATCTTCACTAGCCTGCTTCTTAGCAGTCCTTCACTAGCCCTGGAGAATTGAGACTTTGTTACACAGACTATTCTTTCACCAGTCCGAAACCTAACAGGGTAAGACATACCTTATGTACAGGTGCAACGTAATAAGAAAAGTAAATACTAATGTACCCTGCAACTGCTTTTCTTTACAAAGACAATGGTATTTGTAACCCTTTCCTGCAGCTTGCTGTGAGTGACAACAGCTATGATTCAATGTCTCAACCCTCTAGTCCAGAACCAGGGTTAAAATAACCACCAAAGTGATCAAACCATACCGACCAGTTTGTTGTTTGGTGGGGCTGCTGTGTAGCGGAACCCTCTGTCCTCTCCACTTGCCCAGGTGTTCTGTCTCCAGCTGCACAGCGACATCCTCCTCTACCGGCTGCCACGTCCCGTCATGGAACCACTGGCCTCGCAGAACCTTGATGGGCTTACCTGTGGGGGTGATTCATGGGAAATTTGCTGCTGCTTTCACATCAGACTAAATGTTACATCTCAATTTTTTTACAAGCAGAATTCCTCAATGCTCCCCCACATCACCACTCATGGCAATCATACTTCACATAATGTGATACAAGACTGCAAATTTAATTCATTGCTTTTAAACATCATCCGCCTCTATCACAAACATTCTCGTTGCCATGGCAACAGCCTCCTCCTCCTGTGACTCACCTGACCAGTAGATGGGGTAGCAGTGTTTGGTGGCCACACACACCTCGTGAACCCCTCCCCGCACCACGATCAGGTCCACCTTCTCCTCCGGGGGCGTGTTCCCCTGGTAGAAGTGCACCTGGCGATACTTAGTCTCGATCCTTAAGGAGTCGTAGCCGATGAAAGGTTCCCACTGAGGCTTCTTCCCGGGTTCCTCGATCTCGTAGAACCACCTGACTTCCTCGGGTCTTAAGTCCGTCACGACGTCTTGGGTTGTGGAGACGCCTGTGTGAGCAGGGAAGAGACCCGGGCGAGGGGGTACCGTGGGTCTGGGCGGCCTGGGGGGCCTGGCGGGGCTTTGCCGCTCGGGAGAGTCCGTTAGATCGATCACTTCGGGATTATAAGCGGGTGGACGATCGTCCTCGTATTGCTGTGCCATTTCCAAACCGTACGGATCCGAGTCGTCGAAGGCCGCCTGCTGACGATAGTTCCTGTCCATGGCCACCATGGGCCTCCAGACACCTTCCCCGCTGTCCCGATCCCCGAACTGGTCCCCGGGGGATGGGTACTCCATGATGACAGGGGTGTTTTCTCAGTTTTTATAACGGCTTCCTGGTGTTGCAACGTACACGACTCCCCACCGGCAGGTCATTCCAAGACGTTCACCTTTCACCTTCAGCTGATCATCAACGCAGCCAAGTGTAAAAAAATCTTCCCTTAGATCTTGATCACGATTTCGAAATAAATCCCCCAAATAGTTTTTATCCATTACAATTAATATTTAAACATATTTGGATAAAGAAAGTAAATTTAATGCCCACTTTTGTAAATCTTAGGTGGTATATTTATATTTATGATTTTTTATGTTTCGATGCTACTCAATGGTCCCAAAGCCCAAAGCAGAAGGTGACTCAGAACGTGATGTTGGTTTCGTAATTCCCAACCTCAACCCACGTCTTACGTGTTCATGGTTTGATCAACGTGAAAGGGACATATTTTATTCCTTTGATATTAGTACAAGGTAGTTTTTTTTATTCAGTTCACTAAAGTAATGAGTAGGAAGTGGGATGGAGCTCGCAAAGGGGGAGGGCCGGAGGGGGTACAAGTTTTCCTTCTTCGAGCTCTTGCTGAGCCAGTTTGTACCCGTGGTATTACCTCAACTGTGTAACTTGCGTAATGCTCGTATTTCACATTCCAATATCTCTGTGATACTAGTATTTTTAAGGAAGGGGGGACTTCTTCATGGGGGG